CTACTGTAGGTGACCCTGCTTCGGCAGGGGGGTTGGACTGGATGACCCACAGAGGTCCCTTCCAACGCTGACCATTCTGTGATTCTGTGAGAGATGTAGCCTGAACGTTGTTTGTGCAAAGCGTTTGCTGGTGAATAATCCCATCCCAGTGCTCTTTCTCAAACAGCAGTTTGCTAGTGCTGCCGCTCTCCGGTCATGTGTCCGTGGTGGGCAGCCTGGCCCAGCTCTCTGGAGGCTCCCACCCTGCTGCGGAGGGGTGGGCTGGCAGTGCAGTGTGACAGCCTCGCTCAGGTCTGTGGTATTGTGTCCCCTGGAGCAAGGGGACCCCCGGGCTGCCGCGGCGTGCGGATCCCTCGCGGACACCCCTTGGTGCGGGTGGCTGCCTTACTGCTGTCTGCGCTGCTGAGGATCCTGGTTCCTCTGCAGGCAGCCTTGCCAGCATCGCTTCTCCAGGAGGACAGGGGCTGGGGAGCTGGAACGGTGCGGAAGGGGGGGCACGCAGTATCGCGTCTGCTGCGGGGATGCGGGGAGGGTCTCTGTCTGTCTGTCTGTCTGTCTGTTGGTGGTTGTGGAATCACAGTAATGCCTGACTCACAGTTCAGTCAGCGGGGTGAGCAGGGCTTGCACCAGAACTGATCTCTCTTGGACGTGAGCAAGTGGCGTGGTCTGGGGGACTCAGGTGAGATCTCGCTGGGATCGGCTCAGGGGGACAGCTTCTTCCCTCTCCTGGCAGAGCCTGGGTATCCTGGTTTCGTTAGCTGGCCTGTGCCTGGCAGCACCTTCTGGCCTCCTCAGCTGTCCAATTTTAGGTGGAGAGTTCCTAGAGAGCAGAGGCTGTTGGCTACTTCTCAAGCATACGTCCTTGCCCTTAATCCTGCCAGTTTCTGGTACGCCAGCAGGTGACAGTGCCTCTTTATTCTGGCTGTAGCTTACCCCATTCCTCTTTATTAGCAGGAAATGTTGTTGTAACTTGGACCTTTGGCGCTACTAAATCTTTGAAGGTGGTTGATCCTCAGCCTGATGCTCAAGGTAGCTCCAGCAGTAAGCCATCTCCATGGTGACAGCTCTCCTTTCCTGGTTCTCTTGGTGTCCCCGCACACTCTCCTGTTTCTTACGCTGTTTTCCTAGGCTGGGCCCAGAGATGAGGCTTGATACAGTGCTGAGAGGGCAGCTTGAGCTGCCAAGAAAGGGTTGGTGACAACCCAGACCTTTACTTTTTCTTTGTGAGGGTATGATTCAGGCTTTGCATCTGGATCTGTCCTTGCCATCCCCTTTCGTCAGAGCTGGGGTCTGGTAGGTCCTCTGGGAGTGAAGCCCAGGGATCAGAAGACCCAGATCCCAACCCTTGGAGAGAGTCGTG